GCCTATGTGTAAACTAACAGTCCAGTCCCTTCACCTGATGAAGGCCACTTGTGTCGTGATTTTTGTTTTATTTTTTACCTACGTGACTTTACCGAATAGAACCAAAGAGTAACAAAAAATCGTTTAGTTTTAATGTATACAGTAAGAGAAAAAAGTATTTGATCCCCTGCTGATTTTGTACGTTTGCCCACTGACGAAGAAATGATGAGTCTATAATTTAAATGGTAGGTTTATTTGAACAGTGAGAGACAGAATAACAACAAAAATCCAGAAAAACGCATGTCACAAATGTTATAAATTGATTTGCATTTTAATGAGGGACATAAGTATTTGACCCCTCTGAAAACATGACTTAGTACTTGGTGGCAAAACCCTTGTTGGCAATCACAGAGGTCAGACGTTTCTTGTAGTTGGCCACCAGGTTTGCACACATCTCAGGAGGGATTTTGTCCTACTCCTCTTTGCAGATCTTCTCCAAGTCATTAAGGGTTCGAGGCTGACGTTTGGCAACTCGAACCTGCAGCTCCCTCCACAGATTTTCTATGGGATTAAGGTCTGGAGACTGGCTAGGCCACTCCAGGACCTTAATGTGCTTCTTCTTGAACCACTCCTTTGTTGCCTTGGCCATGTGTTTTAGGTCATTGTCATGCTGGAATACCCATCCACGACCCATTTTCAATGCCCTGGCTGACGGAAGGAGGTTCTCACCCAAGATTTGACGGTACCATAGCCCCGTCCATCGTCCCTTTGATGCGGTGAAGTTGTCCTGTCCCCTTAGCAGAAAAACACCCCCAAAGCATAATGTTTCTACCTCCATGTTTGACGGTGGGGATGGTGTTCTTGGGGTCATAGGCAGCATTCCTCCTCCTCCAAACACGGCGAGTTGAGTTGATGCCAAAGAGCTCCATTTTGGTCTCATCTGACCACAACACTTTCACCCAGTTGTCCTCTAAATCATTCAGATGTTCATTGGCAAACTTCAGACAGGCATGTATATGTGCTTTCTTGAGCAGGGGGACCTTGCAGGCGCTGGAGGATTTCAGTCCTTCACGGCGTAGTGTGTTACCAATTGTTTTCTTGGTGACTATGGTCCCAGCTGCCTTGAGATCATTGACAAGATCCTCCCGTGTAGTTCTGGGCTGATTTCTTACCGTTCTCATGATCATTGCAACTCCACGAGGTGATATCTTGCATGGAGCCCCAGGCCGAGGGAGATTGACAGTTCTTTTGTGTTTCTTCCATTTGCGAATAATCGCACCAACCGTTATCACCTTCTCACCAAGCTGCTTGGTCTTGTAGCCCATTCCAGCCTTGTGTAGGTCTACAATCTTGTCCCTGACATCCTTGGAGAGCTCTTTGGTCTTGGCCATGGTGGAGAGTTTGGAATCTGATTGATTGATTGCTTCTGTAGACAGGTGTCTTTTATACAGGTAACAAGCTGAGATTAGGAGCACTCCCTTTAAGAGTGTGCTCCTAATCTCACATGCTTTTTCTGGATTATGTTGTTGTTATTCTGTCTCTCACTGTTCAAATAAACCTACCATTAAAATTATAGACTGATAATTTCTTTGTCAGTGGGCAAACGTACAAAATCATCAGGGGATAAAATACTTTTTTCCCTCACTGTATGTTGAACACCGTACATAGTTAACCATGCTAATCGGAGGTGTGGATAGATTCCAGATCTGAGAGTTAAAATATAAATTTAACTGCCTTACGACGATGTCCTGTATCAAGATGTGTGGGGAAATGCACCCCCCCCTTCCCCTCAACTTTACCCTGTCAATAAAAATGGTGATTTGAACGGACCCCAGAAGTAGCAAGTAAATCTGTGATATCTCCTTTGAGGGCCATTCTCTAACATGAGGTGATGCAACGTTCTTGGGATGATGCCATCAACACAAGCACAAATATATATTTTTAAAAGGCTTTTTTAAGCCAGGCGATAGCCCGCTGAGACTTAGCAACAGCATAAACAATTTAATGCAATTTAAATGTACACAAGTTACAAATTATTAAGTGGTGGCGCCCTGGCTCACGCACTGCACTATGAACCCCGCCACCTGAGTTTGATTCCTGGCCACGGCTAACGCTGGTTCTGGGCCACCCCCATTTACCAGTCTGCACTGACCCGTGTGGTGAAGTATGGTCAAACAACCCTGCATGACTGACACAGCATGAGGAGGCCTATATACATCAGTGAAATAACAAATGGCTGTCTTGGGCTTTTTAAAGGTTACAATACAAGTATTTGATGCACTGTAAAACTAATTATCATCCAAAAACACAGCTATCAAATTGGCTGAGGAGTCAATCTCGTAGGCCATTAAACACTGATTGGGAAGACATGGGTATCCATTGGATTGGAATAATTAATACTCTCGGCGGATTTATGGATTGTTGTGCTTCAGTCTCAATATTCAATCCAGGAATCGATTACGTTTTAACCAAGCGGTGTTTTTTATTGCCTCTAGTGGCTGCAGGGATGACGAGAGTCTTTAGATACAACGCATATACAACACATACACAACACATACACAATACATATACAACACATACACAACACATACACAACACATACACAACGCAAATACAACACATACACATACACAACACATACACAACACATATACAATGCATATACAACGCATATACAACACATACACAACACATACACAGTACATATACAACACATACACAACATATACACAACACATATACAACACATACACAACACATACACAACACATACACAACACATATACACATTGCAAAGCATGGATTATTTCCAGCAAACTTTGATGCTCCTCTGATTAGCACGGTTGGCTATGTTTGGCGCGAAAGAAGTTCAACATACGTACATACGTGAGTCTAAGAAACTACATAAAGCGATATATTGATACGTTGTTACACCCCTCGATGTTTATGTAGACCAGAAGCAATGTTGTTCAATGTGTGGGTAACATCATTGACGAAAGAAAAGTGATCACATTGAGTATGTATCACTGCTAGGTGATAGCCCCTACACGCTGCCAGTCATGAGGGGTTGATTGGCCATACTTCACCACGTTGGTCAGTGCATATTGGTGCAGGAGGAGTGAGTCCAGCCAGGACCGGTTCAGATATCACTCACCGTGTACCACATTAATATAATATACAAGCTTCTGTCACAGCATTGATGATGAAAGCCTCCCCACACCGTGTTAATGACAGAGTGTGTTGTTTGGTAGTGTAGCGGTTAGCGCGCTGCGCTACGAACCTGGCCACCCGAGTTCGATACCCGTTCACGGCCAACATCGGTGACGATTATCTGAACCGGTCCTGGGCCTACCCTAGGTCGACTCAGCCTCACATGAGGACCTGGTGCAGTGCGTAAACACATCGCCACTGGGGAGACAAAGGTGGCAGGGCGTGGTGTTGGGCTACCGTGTGCTGTTGCCGGCCTTCGTAGGTGCTCGCTAACAGCACTTGCCCCAACAGTCTGCTAAGGCCAGGGACGGATTAAGGCACGGGGGCTTCAGGGGCTGCAGCCCAGGAGGGTCTGCCAGCTGGAGGGCCTCCAGAGATGAAGTGAAAAGTTATTCCATTTGTGAATGCCGAATTTTATTTGTTGTTAGCCTCGTAAAAATAAAAAATAAAAATTTATTTAACTTTGTTTTCCTTATGAAAATATTACTGGGGGCCTCATAGTACCTGTAGCCCAGGGGCCTACAAAATCTTAATGCGGCCCTGGTTAAGGCTATACGGGGGACCTTTGTCTTTGTTTTTTGCTTAGCCATATTTCACCACACTGGTCAGTGCGGTTTTGTGAAGCGAGGGCCCAGGACCAGTTTAGATGTAAATGGCTCAAAGTGTTAACCGTGCTGGGTAGAAGAATTCGGATCGTCGGGTTCATCTAACCACTGCTTCACCCCATAAAATATATCCAGATCGGTAAATTAGAAAGATACAACATTTGACAGTAGTAATCATGTTGATGTATGTTTTTCTTATATGTTTGCTGTCTACGTGCGTGCGTGTGCGTGCGTGACAGCGAATGTGTGTGTGTGTGTGCCATCGGAATTTCCATTACCGGTAATCTGAGCGGCACACCTTTTCTCTGCTCACACCAACAATGTGTTTTTCATCAGGAATGTCGGTGGAGGATGACACACCAGTGTGTGTGTGTGTGTATCGCGAACTCCATGGAGACGCGCCTATGAATAAAAATGATTGGTCACGCGGTCATTATGTGCATAGCTATGCCAATTACCATAATTGTTTTTAACCGTTGCCCATTGACAGTAATTGTTTCCTAGCCAATCGAGGACATAATTGCTAAAACACTCAATGGGAATTTTCTTCTCGGAATACTTGACGGTATATTTGTTTTCTGCAGTTTGTAAATTGTCCTCGTTGCACTCTTTGTCTCATTGCAACGTTCGAAATGTCACTTCGGGGTGTTTTAGCAGTGGGCAACTGCCATCGACAACTTACTTTTCATTGGTCAATCTTAAGCCAAACGATTGTAGGTGCTCACGGGTTTCCAGCCAAGGAACGGGACGCATCTAAGAGCGCGTCCACCAAGCGGATGGAGCGATACAATGAGCTTGTTATACGGGTGCGAGGCGGGTGAATCCCTTTCGAACGATCGTGAGAGATGGTATCGGCTTGGGGAGTCCTTTCGCGCAGCGGTGAATTATCCGTGGCTGATGCTGATGAAGCTGAATAAGGGACTCACCTTAAACGATGACATCATATGGCCCCTATTTATAATTCCTTTCCCGATGCCAAACCTATACCTGCCGTTCAGCCCTATACAGTCCTCCGATCCAATACCGGGGTGGGGGGGGGGGTCACTTTTGGAACGGCTACCCCTTCTGCGAACTGAAATCCGTGGAGTGGGCTCGCCTGCAGACTGGCTCGCCCAGCTTGTTCTTCATTTGGCGAAGGTGTAACAAAATAAGAGGGGGGGGGGGGGGGGAGCGGGGGAGATGGAGGAGGGGAGGGGGACGACGTACCACCTGTGGTCACCGGGGCTCAGCTCCCACTTGGCGTCTCTTCAAAGGGCAGTCTAGAAGCGGGTTACTCTCAGGGAGTGCCGGATCACCCTTCCGCTGTCTCGCCGTCCCATGTCCAGACGCCAACCTCTCCAAAGGGGTGGGCAGGTTCCCCATCGCTCTCCGGCAATGCGGGAGCACCAACTCTTCATTTGCTATTGGTCTTTGGAACGAGGGAGACGGTGGGGGGGGGGGGGGCGGCGCGGAGAGAGAAAGAACCACACACAAAAAAAAACATCCCACCAGTCAACACATTCAAAATACTAAAGCAACAATGATTGCATTAAAGGGCCGCCGCGGCTCGGCGATAGCAAGACGTTGTTCTCGACTAAGTGCAGTTGCGTGGATAGCTGCGCGTCGTCGCTATCAAATCTTGCACGCGCGTGAACCCGCGCACGTGCTGCGCGTGCGCGTGCAAAAAAAAACCCAAATATAGACGTAAAATATACATAGATCAAAGAGAGTGTGATGCTTTTATCGTGCACATTCTTTTTTTCTAAGCTAAAAAAAAACCGTCTCATTATTGCTATAGTTCCTCTGTGTCTCTTTTGCACCTCTTTAGTCACATCCACCGTCCTCGTGTCTCGTTCCACCGCATCATTTCCTTCCATCTCGCCCTCCCGTCTCCCCTCGGCGTCTCCGCAGCACCCCCCTGTGATTTGCATCGTCTTTGTGCTGTGCTGTTAAAGCAGAGACCACGGTGTTCGAAGGCTCTGCGCGACCAACGAACTCTGCTTTTCAAATGCGTTGATGCAATTAAGCTGATCGGAATGTAGGATTACAAACCAAAACATAATCACCCACAGTTATGTACCTTTAGCCGGCACCATTAGCAGTGAAAGGTATGAGGCTCGCCGTGAGGGCACCCTTAGGTTTCATTGTTCCATCATTGCCCCCTTAGTTTAGCAGCTTAATTGCCTCTACCACAGCTATTGTGTCCGGTAAGCACTTGATCGTGTGCTTGAACGGCACGACTACTTCTCACAGTGATAATGCACAGTATGCGAGAGGAGGTGTCTTCAGTGGCAAAGGCTAACAGGAATCCCGACATGCTTTGCATGTCAGGATGACAACACCATCCCAGCACATCCTCGCGGCAGCTTTTGGCGCTTTCAGATGCCCTTCTGCAGCCGTCTGGAACGCTCCTCCGTCCGATATTAGGAAGCTACTGGAGCTGTGCACTTGTAAATCATCAAGCTTGAAAACTCATTGATGTCGACCCGCTTTTTGTGTTTAGTGTGTTGTCTTCGCGCACCACCGATGAGCACGGTTGGCTAGGTACGGCGCGAAAGAGGATCAACGTTCATACAGCACATATTCTGCACGTATTCCTTCTGATAACCACCAGCCCAAGAGCTGAGATTGTGGATTTTTTTTCTTTTAAGCAACAAAAGGCCAAACGAGGCCACCCTATACCGAAAGCCTCCCTGAACAGGACGCATCAGTGCAGTGTGGCCCCTATCTGCTGCTGCCATTTGCGTCTGCAGCATTGCGTATTCAGCGATAGAAAGTGCCTGAGTTTGCTCAGCACAAGTTAACATTAACCGTGGGCTCTCCCTGCCAACAGTGTCTTGAGGAATTTGTCATGATCAAGGTGCGCAACTGCTATTTGTGAATCTTTAGAACAGAGTAAAAAATAACTAATTGCTGTTTCAATTTGACAGCTTTGTCTCCATGGACGTGTTCCCTTATTGCCCCCCACACCCGTTAGCCTCTGATATTCAACAACATTGTCATCCTCGCGATCGTCACATTATTAGAACAGTATTACCCAAGTCGCCCTTGGCACAAACACATTTTGGTCTTTATTGGCTCTCAAAAAAAAACTACATCTTTAATTTACAGCCCGTGCCACGAAGGGGATTGTTTAGCCAGACTTCACCAAACTGGTCAGTGCAAGGTTGATGAAAGGAGGGGTGCGCAATGAGCTGATGAGATGTCACTCGCCACTGTTGTTCGCCGTGGGCAGGAATCAAAACCAGGTCGCTGGGTTCGTCGTGCAGTGCGCTAACCACTGTGCCACCGCTTCATCCTGGTTGAGTGGTTATCATGGTCTTTCAACTAGTTATAAATAAATGTAATGTATCTTTCTATTACCACTCACTACTCTACCTCCCAGGACCCCCTTCTCCTTGCTGTGGACCTCAAGGATGTCAAGTCCGTTTTGGGAACACAATTACATTTCATTATTCCTCCATTAAAATTGACGCTTGCCTTGCAGCTCGTATGTTGTTCACAATTAGTTTTAACTAAAGTGCAGTATTTTCTACGTGCATTATTTATATATTGCTTTTTACATATGAAAATCGTTAAAATGTATAATGTTCGTAAATGCATAGGGGTTTCATGAAACAAAGTAGTTGTACTTAATGTGCCTGTGCTTCATTTATGTTTTCGACGATTCACCTAAAAAAATAAATCTGGCCATGTCTCTCACCCCCAGAAAGGGCATCTCGCACCCCCAGGGAGTGCGCGCATCCCAGGGCTAAGGAATGGTACAACGAAGGGCTGGACTCACCTACAATGTTAGACACGTGTGTGTGTGTATATATATGCATGCCACGTGCAAGTTTGGAACTTGCACAGATCCAACTCTGTGCGCAGGTAGACCACTGCGCTCGTTGGAGTCTGCTCTCTTTGTCCGTGCCCAGTAATTGCCAACAGGCGAACGGTAGAGACCCTGGAGGGTGTTTACTGAGTTCCATTTCTTGCACCAGATGCGTCGGCAATGCCACCCAGATGTCCAATGGTTGCGTCCGGCAGCCAAGATCCGAGATGTGATTGGTGAAGACGTGTGGCAGGAAGTCATATTCTTAGTTACTACAGCATCACCATTACCATCACCATCATCACTTACATTGTTGATATATATTGCACGCTACCATGCACTATGGCTTAAAGTGCGTATGAAGTCGTTTGCATGTGAATGAACCATGACTTTGTTAAAACAAATCAATGAAACCTACCAAACAGGGAACTAACGAATGTTGATCTTCTTTTGCATCGTACGTAGCCAACCGTGTTAATTGGAGGTGTGGTACAGTATTTAGTTATTAACGTAACTATTGACACAGTGGTTAGCGTACCGGGCGATGAACTCAGAGACCTCGTTTTAAATTCCCGGCCAGGGCGAACGTCAGTGGCGAGTGATATCTGAATGAGTCTTCTCCCCTTTTTTCACCACCCCACATTGATCAATGTGATGAAGACTGGTCAATAACCCCGCATCGCTCACATGATGTGAAGTGTCCCTAATCCAGAAATAGACTGACAAGAGTTGTGAATGTTTATTACATATCGTTGGTGAAGGATCGATGATTGACAGAGGCGTAGCACCCAATTTTATACATAGTGGTTAAGCAATTGAGGGACAGTTTTTTTTCGTAAACTGTGATTTTCTTGAGGCTCAAAGTTACAATTTTCAACGCTTGCTCGCAGTATATCATAGACACATGTCAAGAAAAAAAAACAAACACAAGATGGTGTCTGGTTCAGTGTGCACTACGGAAATATAGGCTGCTAGTTAGGTAAGATATGTGCTATTGTTGTGTCCTTTTCCAAGGCTATTCCCTGACGTGATGTCAACATCTGCCATCACTTTCATTCACGTTACGGAGAACGTTACAACGGGCGGAGCTAATTCGCGCGGTGCCTGCTGTATCACAAATGCACGATCTCTCGGTCTCACAGCAGCACAACGAGACCGCTGTAACACGTGGACGGTGAACCTTGTGATCTCCTATTCGAGCGGGTGCAACATTAATAATTCGGCCAGGACCTTGGCACGGTGCAGCGTCAGCGCGACGTGCGCGTTTTTAACTCGCGGCCGATGCGAACTGCCCTCCAGAGGGCCCTCTGCGTGAACAAGGCTGCGGAATTGGTCTTCGGGGCACCGGGGCCAAACGGCCGCCACTAACAAAAAAAAACAAGCCCACACTCATCCCATTGTTCCCCAGAGGGTACATTCCAGTGGGCCACCTCCCCGACCATAAGTCCTTGTTGTTGGGGGGAAAACAGTAGAACGCATTAAATTGTTTGCAGATCGCAGGGGCGTTCACATGATCACTGGCCATTATGCCAATCTCCTGTCGGACCCATTGAACTGGGAGCATTGCCGCAGCATTAGGCTAAGATGACTGTTTATTAAATAGTGCAGGGATGACAGCGGTGCCAAGCTTTACAAATGAGGCCAATTTTAGGAGCTTCGCGGTGTTTATTTTCAACAAAAAAAAGCTTTTAGAAGCATTTTTTTTTCTTCCCCCAGCACGCTTTGTCTCCTCGAGCCGGATGATCGGGCGATGGCGCACCGGGTCCCGAGCGCGTGCACCTGACCCACAAAGGTCCCCCTCTGTGTTCGGGAACGGGACGACTCCCGCACACAAGCGGCGGCATGGGGTAATTGCGGCCGTCGAGTGTGCACGCCAAATAATTTGTTGCGTTCTGCGTATTATTATCCCCCCCCCCCCCCCCCGTTCATTGAGAAGTGCGTCCGGAGTGGAGACAATAAAAACGGACAAAACTCTGTCTCAATCTGTAAATGCAACGGAGGGATCTCGCCAAAGGGTCTACGATTACCCCATAGTACACAAGCATGTAGAGTTTATGTTTTATTTTTTTATTTTCTTGCCCTACGGAGCAGGGGGCGGGGATGGTGCAATTGAAAGGTTTAACAAAGGCTTGAGATTATACACTTCTCTGCAATGTTTGACAAAGGATTGACAGACTAACCGACGAACAAATGTCAACTTGTAGAGAGACAATACATTTGAAATTATATTCATATACTGTATATATTCCTATTTCATGCATGCCTGTTTCGCAAATTAACTCTCTTATCTCAGTGAGATCTGACCAGGGTGTAAAGTATACCAACGCACCTACCTGCCCATCTACCAACCTACTTACCTGCCCACCTACCTGTAAAACACCTCAACGTGGTATACATTCTGACTTAAAACATCAGCTTTCTTGTGTTGGATATTATGTTGCCTGACATTTAATAACCGTAAATGAAAGTTACGTTGCACAAATGGCACGGGAAGGTTGCATTGCGTTATTTTTTTGCCACTACACATTTATTATTTGGAAACTCTCAATAAACTAAACTTCAAGCTAAAACTATTTTAAAAAATGTTTTTACCATGTAAGGCCCACTGAGATATATAGCTGTATTGCAGAAGCGACCCGACCACAAATGCGAGCTCAACGAAGTGCCTGACCATGTGGAAATTTATGGCAGCCAAATACTCTAAACGAATATTTCTAAATATGGAGGGGGAAAGCAGATGACCCGGAGACAACTCCACGCGACCACAGGGACAACATGCAAAACTCAAACTATACAGGCGTCAGGGTCGGCATCGAACCAACGCCCTCCTGTATACCAGGAGAGGTAGTTAACATCTCGCCACCGCGGCACCCCAATGAGGTTAATTCACTCTGCGGCTCATGTCCACCTTCCCTAAAGCAGCCAGCACAACCTCCCTAACCCCCCCTCCCCCACCCCTCTTCCTGCTGTGCCACCGTCACGCCGCGTGAACCTTGGCGAGTGGCGGGTGAACAGAACAGGGGAGGGTCGAAGATGAATGCGTCGAGGTGGGGGCTAAGGGCCAAAAGGTGACCGCACCGCTGATGACACCGCGGGGCGACGCACCGCGACTTCAAACGGGCGTGCGACAGAACAGAAGAGATCGCCCAGCCATTAACCCCCCCCCCCACCCACACCACCACCACCACCACCAAACGGACGCCAGATCTCACGCCGAGGCCCAGCCGCCTGCTGCCGCTTGCAGCGCCGCGATGCAGCACCGGCAGGGAGAGAGAGAGAGACGGAGAGAGACTGACAGTGTGGAATTTGCCCATTAACGATGAGAGAGAGAGAGAGAGGGGGAAAAAAGCACAGACGAGAGAGTGAGCAAGAGAAAGATCATATCAAGCACAAAGTGCTGGTTGGTTGGATAGGGTAGCCTTTTTTTAACTTTTCTCTCTCTCTCTCTCTCCCTAAACCCTACAAAGTTCTTCTCTCTCTGGCTCGCTCGGAAGAAAAAAAAAGGACATTTTGGTCCGGCAAGTTTCGGCATCTGCGCCGCCACGCATTGAGGTCAAAGGCACTTAAACCAGAATTGCTCCTCACTTACAGCTTCTGTCGTTACCTCAACGCGCCCGACTAAGTGTCTGGTATGGCCTCCTATTTTTCCCATGGCACTCGGAAATTCTTCCGCCGCCACCGCACTGCAAAACCAAGCGGCAGGGTTTTGCAGTATGAAGGGAGGGAGGGAAGCAACAGCGGAAAAAGCGGCAGCCGAAAAAAAAATCTTGACGCAAAATGAGTGAAGCCAAGCAAGTGTCCTTAGAAACAAAGTAGCCGAAGTGAAATTGTACATGTTGTGTTTTTCTTACACAGTGGGTTGTACAACAAAAAACCGTCAAGTTTGCAAACAGAGTGCCGTAGTCAATGAAAAAACAAGTCACCTCAACGCTTCCCCACACGACAACAGGCGTTTGGCAATGGAAATGTCCACATTCCCATGGCAGAGACTCGTCTCACCATAGTACGTTACACGTAGGTGTCCTAGTAGAGCAACCTCAGCAAACACATCCTGTTGAGATGATGATAACATGACGAATAATGGTAATCATAATTTGCAGCCCTCTTGCAATGCACTGCTGGATGAAGGCCTGCTCACAGCTTGGCAGGTTGTTGACCATACTTCACCTTGCTGGTCAGTGTGGGTTGGAAAAGAAGGGACCTGTTCAGATGTCCCTCTTCACTGACGATGTGGATCTTAATGAAATGATAATGATGTTGATGTTCATGATGGTGGGCTGAGTTGCATCCTGTACAACTGTACCGTATTTGTATAACCTGGTTAGGATTTGGAGTGGAAACTGCCTGGGAATACCAGGTGTCATAGGCTTGTTTTTAGAGGTGGCCTAGAGATGGAAGTACAGCAATGAATTATTGACTCAATCTGTACGAAGCTTTGAGTGTTACCCGCGAGCAAACATTGAATTTCTCCAAGTGTTCTGGGTTTCTCCGGCCCGTTAAACACTCATGCGTGGTATTGGCCAAACATCATAATCCAGGACCTTCCTTGAAAATCGTCTTGAGAC